ATTTTCAGCATTTCAGCTGCTTCCGTTGGAGCGGCTGCAACTCTTCCAGCGCTACTTAGTACCGGTTATTTCTCGTTACTTCTATTCGATTGGGACAAGATCGTAGACCGCTGTCTCTCCATTTTCCCCCTAAGTTATAGCAGTCTTTGCTGCAGTAGATTGCATAAACGTGTTCTCACTTGAATGTTTACCTCTACCTTATAACGCTGTTTCTATTGAATTTATCCCCTTTTTACTCTGGTAGATATTCATCTCATGTATAAAAAGTAGTCCTGACTTAAGGATGTTTTGAGTTACATTTTACGCTCGTAGTGATATTCAGTTACTGATTTTATGTAATCTCTTACACTGAGTGCTTTTAAGATGAAGGCGAAAATATGGTACAGTGGTGGCCAAGTGGTTAGGTCACCTGGGAGTCCCGGGTTCGAACCTCTCCACCCGTTTTCCCTGTTCCTGTATTTTCTCAGGCAGCCTTTGAATGGCCGCGGCCCCCCTTCCAGAATGTTAACTGTACGTTCAATAAATAAAATAGGAAGTAAAAAGACATTATTCATTTATTTATTAGTACCATTTCTGTCTCGATGGCAATTATTCATGACTTTATTTAAACTGCCTAAGTCACTCTGAAATCGGTGTGTAGATTTTTTTGAAATTCCAGCGTCACGGCTTCTGTTTTATCCAGCTCCACAGACGGAATCTTATGAGGTCAATCGTACATATTTTTATTTCACTTACGTCTACTGTTAAACAGTGTCTATGTTATGAGAATTAATCCAAACGATTTTCCGGGCATGTTTGTCGTAATATTTATGGTAGAATCTGGCTTTTCCATGACTGCAGGTAATTCAACGCTCAGCTCTATACGTGTGCATGTGCTCCTAATCTCACTGAGTTCGGTTCGATTTGGTTTTGATCCGCATCTTACAATTGTCATTTTCGGTGTCTCACTTCTAATTGATCTGTTTTTCTTACTCACTTGCTCACTGTCTGCCTGCTTACTCTCCCCTCCTTTCATGTGTCATACCAGTCAGATTAGAAACAATTCTCGGTATTGCTTCAGGCTTTTGAACACTGTCTCTTTGTCTGTTTCAGGTTACTCAAGTGGAAGAACCATCCAAATACGGCGTGGTGGTCTATGACCAAGAAACCGGTCGAGTACACCGATTTGTGGAGAAACCAATCGAGTTTGTGGGAAATCGGATTAATGCCGGTATCTATTTGTTGAACTGTAGCGTGGTGGATAAAATCCCGGTAAGTTTTGAGTTCCAAATTCGGCAACTGATTATTATACTTGAAACAGGAGCTAACTTGGTGGCCCTCTTGAATTGCATCCATTCTGGCGAAACTATTGACCGCTAGATAATGCAAGTAGACATTCATGTCTAATTTTTATAACTGGCACCACGAATCAATTGGCATCTCAAGCATTCATCATATTAATACAAATTTATATTGCACACCTAGGTATGATGGATATTCGGCGTAAACAGTCATCAGAACTTGATTACCTGGACACTGGCCCTTAACAGATGGTGGTTTTTACACACCGCCCCGCTGCCTTGCAGATCAGGCTTTGGTCTGCTTAATCCGCCTTTTGTGAAGTCCCCAATGGAATTCACCTACCCTGGCCTGGGCAATCTGGCGGTATTCCGCCGTCAAATAAATCATGAGACTTACATTTTTAGTAAGATTATTGCACCGTGATTTGTTTGGCACAATCCTGATTCAGATGTGAGCGAGATGCGAATACATCAGGAAATACTAAACAGCCATTAAGCCCGGCAACCTAATCCCCGTGACTGAGTAGCGAACTTCTCTAAGCCTCATTGGGAAAGACGTGGTATTGAGCGAAACAGCACCAAAACTGTGCCACCAAGGCTGATTTGTGGTGTCGAGAATTCCTGGGCTCAGAGCAGGACATTGATAATGACTTTAGCTACTGAAACACTACTACCCTGGAATCGTGCGAGTTTTGGTGAGGATTATGCGAACGAGGTTGGCTTGATCTCTTTTGCCTTGTTTTCCTTCCTTCCATCCCCACTAAAACCACACGCTCCATTCTAATAAAAAAAGGTTGTTCGTTCTCAGAGGAACTTCTGTGAGTCGCAAGGTCGATCTGTTCGGCTTCATCTGCCGGATCGTTTGCCACACTAGGAATTGACTATGGTGTGCATCCTCAATAAACATTTTCCGGGATTTCGTGTTAGTTCCATTCAGACAGTTTGAATAAGCTGAAGACTAAATCCAAGTGCTCATTTTTGATGACCGGGACTTATTTCACGGTGCATAACGGGTCCGCGATGCACATTTTGCTTCATTCTATCTCCTGTGTGTGTGTATTACTTTCCGGCGACACCTTTTGATGACCATGATTTAAACGTGATATCCTAATCATGAAATAGACAAAGGAGACGTCGCTCACACTATCGTCAGCTTCCCATCTCCTTGTTCTGGGATTTCATTTTGATACTACTGCGCGCATCAGTGACTGTTTAATTTTAACTCCCAACGCGAAACGAAATTCCGGCATTCTGTAAATAACCAGCTAGCTACTTTCGCAATCCCTTCGTTACTAACTGCAGAAGAACAGCATTATGTGTTCGGATCTGATTGGTTTCTTTCATTGTGCTGATTTACGGATGCAGATTGATGTCTGATTTCCCCAAGTATTTACTTGCCAGATCGAGGTTTGCTTAAAACGGCTTCTGATAGGCGAAACAAGCTGTTTTGCGATAAATTCATCAGCTGACTATTTACATTTATATAGGTAATGCATTTAATATTGTTTGATCATGATCTTATTACTCTGTGTACAAAGCGATGCTAGGTGCGTCAACAATTTGGTTACGAAGTCCTTCCAGTTACCACGCTCGCATCGGTTGGTCGCTTGGCGACTGGCTATGATAGAGATAATGTCTGGACGAAACGCTTCTGATTGCATAGTGGGGGGTCAAACAGTTTGATCGCAATAGCTTCAGTCGTGCATAGAAGGATAAAGCGTTCGGATTTAGATGATAACGGTGGAATACGATAAACGGTTCTGAACGCTCGACTTACGTCCACTTGGTGATTGCTTTCTAGTAGGTGCTGGCAGATCGCGCTTCTCGCTGTCCTCGTTTCTTCGTATGCTAACCAACGAGGGTGATGTTCCTTTATTCTCTTTGAAAATTGTCTTGTTGTCCGGCCTTTTTAGCTCGCTCCACAGGAGCAAGTAAACAAATAGATGCACATGGAAACGGTTTGAGGGAACAATCTATCCTTGAGATGGAAACGAATTACTGGTGATGTGGAGAAACTAATGCGTAGTGCTGCCGTAGTGAAGGCTCTCCTTAACGTTTGGTTTATTATTCGTGTGACCCAGTCCGCCGCCTTGTCTCTCCTGTACGGTAATTGCAGGTACAGGGGTTTTCTCCTTTTCTTTTTTCTTTTCTTTTCAATGTCACAAGGAATGTTTTTTTTTCATGTGCTAAAACAGCTTCTCTCTGTTCTAACGAATCGAAGCTAAATTGTCTCTGGTTTCTTGTTTGTTTCTCGTAGAATGTCACCCGTGAAACAATCATTGTTTGATCTTGACATCCATTGACTCGCGCTATACAAATTCTACTGTGGTTTTTTCTCGAAAAAGTATCTCAAGTTGAATAGACTTGGGTACGAGCTAATCATTGTTGCAACACCAAGGCATTATCTTTTTGTACTCTTTGAGCTGCTCTCTGCTGAGTACCGCTTGTCTGTATTGCATAAACATAGATGATCTTTCCTCTGTTCAGTTCTTAATACTACACTCTGCGTTTCACCCATCCCCTCAGCTTCGACCAACTTCCATTGAGAAAGAAATTTTCCCACAGATGGCTAAAGCACAGGAACTGTACTGTTTTACTCTACCAGGTAACAATATTCCTCTTGCAGATTTCGATTGGATCCCTTTGTTGCTCGTTGCATTTAATGCAATTTCTGTGGTTTAAAACTGACCGTTTTCTGCTTCAAGATTTCCGCCTATCACTGTTACGAATCAGCTCACGGTCCCTGCCCCAATTCTATAGTGGTGTACTCGAGCAATCCTGGTAGCCTAACTGTTTTCTGCCATTCGGAATTGATTCTACGGACGTAAACCGAAGAACAAAATGCTTATAAGTATGCTCTTTGGGGAAACGTATGCGCAATCCAATATTGGAGTACCAAGAGCGTACACTTCCCATTTGAGAACATCCAAAACAAATCAATTTCCTCAGGATCCATCTCTATTCCTGGGTTCGTGAATCACATTGAAGCATTAGTATCGTGCTGTCATTGCTTGTGTCCTACCCTAGACATCATCCCACAAAAATTATTTACGTACATTGAAAAGTATTCAATTACTGGAGTTGAATGCAAATCACTGGATCAGATGAGTCTGCGGAATCAGTCAGTTATCGTCTAACGAAAAAGCCCGTAGTATTAGTAGAATCAAATTGCTACTACTTATGGGGAATTTGAAGACGCATTGTACTATCAAGTTGAATGGGCCATCATCGCATCCACATAGTCGATATCAATTCCTTCATGGAGGTTGCAGGTTAAGCCAACAGTCATTGCTTGACGATCAGCCCAAGACATGGTGAATTAAAAGGTTCGACTTCTAGGATGGAGCGCAGAGTCGCAAATGCCCCTGGTTAGAAACCTTAAAACATTGCTCGAAACTGAACTCGCTGACGAGGCTGGGTAACGGTCTCCTTTTTCTATATATCCTCACAAAAATATAGAAAGTTTAAAATTCTCCCGACGAAAACAAACTCGAAAGAACTATGGATCTGATAATCTCACAAATCGTTCGTTCTCACCCTCTCCCCTAATACATATTGGTTCCATTTATTGAAATTCCTTTTAACCATGATTTGATTTGTACACAATCTAAAAGAAAACGGTTATATATATATTTCATAATAAGTAGTATTTGAATGACTGGACAAAATTTCCCTGGGAGCACACGACCGGTTTCGCGGTT